CCCTCCTCAGCATCATCATCGTCATCGTCATCCTCATCCCGACGGTGGATCCGTTCTCTACGAGCTGAGGCCGAAATACCACGGGATCTGACACGTCTATGCCCCGACCTCTCCACTGAATAGCTTCTACTAAGAAGCTCTACATTCTTCCCCGCACCATGACGACCCAGTGAATTCTATACAAAATTTTAAAATATATAAACATACAAAAATTTATACGAAAAATAGCTACCACTACCCAAATCAAATAAACTAAAAACATACTAACAAATTAACATAATAAAGAAATTAACAAAACAATTAAATAAAAATAATAGAATAAAAAATACACTTATAAAGGAAATAAAACCAACACGGAAGAATATATATAAACATAAATAATTCATTCCCAATTAAAATAAATTAACTAACCAAAAACAATATCAATAATAAAATTTAAAATAAATTAACTAACCAAAAACAATATCAAAGTCAAAAAAAAAATATAAAAACAAATCAAAATAGAGAATAAAAATAAAAATGTACAAAAAAAACAAACAAATAATTGTAAACAAAATATAAACATAGAAAAAATACAACAAAATTGAAAAAAATTATAAAAATAAACAACAAAATATAAAAACAATTCAAAAATATATTACACAAAAAAAAAAACAATATTTTAAAACAAATATATATAAAAAAAAAGGGGGGGGGGCGCCTTGGCTGGACGCCCAGCCAGCGGTGGTGGCGGTAGCTGCAGACGCCGCCACCAGTGGGCTAGCGCCTGGGCTGGACGCCACAGCCACGGCTGCGGCGCCTTGAATAAACGCCACAACCGTGGCTATGGCGTCCAGCCCAGGCGCCAGCCTATTGGTGGCGGCGTCTGCAGCTGGCGCCACCACCGCTGGCTGGGCGTCCAGCCAGGGCGCCCCACCTCCGTCACGGCGGTTTTTCCTTTTTTTTTTTTTTATTACAAACTGTACCTTGCCTCCTTGGGACCTCCTTCCCTCCGCCGCCGCCGCCAATTCCTTGCCTTGCCGCCTCGACATTGCCGTTGTTTGAATTTTTTTTTTTAGAGAGGTTGAAAGAAGATGAGCGATGAGAGTGTGAGTGTTTTTTTTAGGTCAAGGGCAATATTGTCAAACCAAGTGAATTTTGTGGGCTTTATGTAGTAATTTGTGGGCGATGTTTAACAAATCCCGAAACGTGAATCACCTCAAAATTACCCAATTTGTGCTTTTTCCCCCTCTAATAATAATAAGAAAAGCAATTCATTAATCTGAATGAGTCACAAAAAATTAACGAATTAAATTACAAATGGGGTGGAGATGGGAGAAATACATCCGACACAAACGTCCCGAAACGCTCGTTAGCAAGATCCATATAAGCATTAAAATCATATTCTAAAATGTCAGAAGTTAAGAAAATCTATGCAAAATCACACCGATCATTATTATTAATGCCTAATAATTCTTAAACTTTTACTTAAAATTTTTTTATATATGCAACCTAAAAGCTACATTTATCATTTTCCTAATTATAATGACAAGGTATACCTTATTACACTAATGATAAAGATTAATTGTGGGTTTGTGTCGGATGTATTTCTCCAATCTCCACCCCATTTGTAATTTAATTTGTTAATTTTTGAATCTTGCTAACGAGCGCCCCAAAGCGTTAGATAAGGAGTAATTATATTGGTTGAAATGGTATTAAGTTAGGAATGCAGGACAAAATCACACGTTATTCGGTGTAATTATATTAATGTTAATTTTACTCTAATATTTCCACTTTAATTCTCTTATTTAACGCCCCGGGGGCGCTAATTAGCTTTTGCCTTACAAATAAAATAGAATTAAGCAATTATTTTGGGACCGAGGGAAAAAGAATAATACTAATACAAATAATAATCATGATATTTCATGATATTCTATATTATTGAATTAACATTATTTGATTGAAAAAAAAAATGAAAATTATAAAATGTGAAAAGACAAATTCCTAGGAGCAAGTGGTGGGTTTATGTGCTATCTACTATATATGCTGACAATTATCTCTGCTTCTCTGCTCGCATCTCACTAACAATTGTCAAGTTTGTTATGTAGTAAGCATAAAATAATTCTCAACTAGTTAATTAAGTACTTCCTCAATTTTTGTTACAATAATTCTCACTTTTGACATCATCTAATACAAATAAAAATATATTTTATATTATAAGAATTTAAGGAAAATGGTTAGGAAATAAGAATTTATTGAATTATTTGATTCGGAAGCGTGAGAGACCATACCTTTTGCATTTAGGTTCCTTGTCAAAATGTAGGAAGTGCAATTTGGTTTAGAAGATTACTTGATCAAGTAGGTCATATTGTTACATTATTATTGTCTTAAAGAACAGGCAATAAGTTTGAAACGTAGCTCATCAACTGTCAATCGGGTTAGCAAATCGTGTTTGTCCATTCAAGTTTGAGTTATATAATCGGATTTAATTTTGTCAACTAAATTTGGATTAAATTGGCCTTAAGTCCATACTTTTAATGCTAGTAATTTATGATTATATGAATTCACTAGAAGTATCTAGCTTAACCATGTAAGGTCTTGTTCTTTTGAGCTTTTGACAGAGTAGGGGTTAACAAAGCAAAATTGAGCAGATTTCAGCAGAGAATAGCAGAATACCTCAAAAGAAGTACAGGGCCTAATTGTTGAAAAGATTATTCATTATTCTTCCAGAAATATGATGTTAGTAAGCTTTGAAGACCACTAAGTAACAATGATTTTGTACTTGCACTTTTACTAGTTTTTTTTCATAAATCTACCCTAGTAATCTATATATATTAGTGTTTAATTGACATTATCTTGGGAGTAATCTAATATGATCGATCTTCTAAGGTAAGGTGTCATTTTAAACACGACATGCATGTTTGTTCTTCCTATACACAATCTCCTATAATCCAATATTCCCCTTGACTCATTTTGAAAGGTACTTGTAATTCCTACAATAGTGAGAGTTGTAATTGAATTACTCACCGTGACCTAAAAACCTTATGATTTATCACTTGTGTATATGCAAGAGTTGAAGTGAGTTGGATAAATAACAACTTAGGACATTTTCAGGACTAATCTTCTTTGAGTTGAGTATAAATCAATTACATATCACCAAAATTGAATTAATATCAAGCCAACTCAATTATTTGTTATTGATTTCAAGTAGTTTGCATTTAAACAAAATATATAGGTCGGTATTACATAGCTTTACATATCGAGTCAAAAATTAACAATGCTAATATATCGGTGTTGTAATTAAACAAGGCCTAAACATAATAGCATACTAAAAACAACCTAGAATTAATAGATCAATGTGAAATTAAACCAAAAGTGGGATGGTCAAACAAGGATGCATAGGGTGTTGTACAAAAATAAGAGTAATTGTCGAGAAAAAAAAGAGTTGAAAGTGAATACTCAAAAGTGAGAAAAGCTGGTTAAATATAACAGTAACTTTACAACAACAGATTACTGATTAGTGTTATGATTAAAACTATGATTAATAGAAAAAAGCCTTTACAGAAAAGAGTGGCAACTCTGTTACTGCAAAGATACCCCACCTTAGTCAGCCACTTTTATTTCACTGTAAGAAAATAATAAAAATAATATTTAAATTTTTATTTCTGGCTTTACAGTGGAGCCAAAGGCATCGGATGAGCAGCCAAAAGGAGATCAGACTTTCTCCAACTAGTTACACTTCTATAGATATATAATTTTGTAAATATACAAATTATAACCGGAAAATACTATATGTCGTCTTTAGGGCTGCATGTAAGAAACGAAAAAAAAGCTTGAGATCGAATACTTAATCATTAAATACCATAATTTTGCCATAAGTTTTTAAATATGAAGTATCATTTTAGAGAATGCAACTAATACTTATATAGTTATATGCAACATATAACATTACCCAGCCTATTATAATATCACGGCGATGAAGAGATATTTTTAGTTTTGTTTATTTGTTGTATGTGGAATAATATATGTATTTTTCATTGTTAAAGCAAAAATGAAATTCTTATCTCAACAAGGAATGTAGACCTATAAATATTAGATTAATACAAAAGATCAGTACATATAATTACTATGATATTTAAAAACACATTATCCTTTGAGAATTGAGATCACTAAAAGTTTAAGAGAAGAACTTTTTGTTCATGAGTTATAACGTGTTATTAAATCACTTAGGTTTTTCCTTTAACAGAAATCTAAAGGCCAACTAGCTTATAAAGGATGTCAAAAAATTATTTAATAACATGGTAAAGAAACAAGAATGACATAGTTCCAAGCTTATAATGTAACCTCACTAGTTCTCCTTTAATTTTTGGATAATACACCACATGAACATGTATTTAGTAATACAACTAACACTTCTTTAGTTCTTTATACTGTATCAATTAGGACTAAGGGCCATACCTTTATGATTTCTAGTGTAGTGTTGGGCAGATTTTTAATAGTAAAGGTATAAATCACAAATACTACTTCCTCCGTTCTTTTTTACTTGACTCGCTTTGACTTTTACAGTATTTATTTTTTCTTCTTTGACCGTCTTTTGTGAATAGTATGCAAGGAAAAATATATTCATGTAAGATCTTTTTGAATTCATCTCAATAATTACTATCATAATATGCAAATTTTATAATTTTTACTTATAGAGAATTAAAGTTATTGATCGTTAAAGTTTTACATTGGCAAGCGTGATAAAATAAACAGGTCAAGTAAAAAAGAACAGAGGACGTACATAAAATCTACTACTCTATAATTTTGTACATTGTATTCCCAGAATTCATCCCTTATATAGTTATATATCGCCTTTCGTAACCATTTACACTTCAATTTGTCGACTTTCAAATTAAGTTTGCCTTATAAATTTAAACTAAGCAAATAAATATCAGGGTAATTAGCTAGTAAAGAAATGACAGAGGTATATTATAATGGTACATTTAAAATTTGATCTACCCCTAATAATCCTGACTGATTTTCAGCTCATTAACCAAATCAAAAAAGAAGCAAGAATATTTTTGAAAGAATCATAGAATAAAAATAATTCAAATCTATCAAAAATCACAAAGATTCAAATAGTTGGTTCTGCTATCTTGTGCTCCCCATCTGCAAAAAAGAATTCCTTGAACTATCCCACCAACCTGACCCAAAATCCCCTTATCTTTTCCTATCAACACCCCTTCTTTCTCTCTCCTATTTTCATTTTATATTATAATATATTATTTTATTTTATTTTAATTTTGGGTGCAATTAATATAGTCTCCCTCTCAATATTTATATACATCACTTCAACACTAGTTGGCCTTCTCTATATAAATATCACCTCTTCAACTCTCTTTTCTCTAGTTTATAAACTTTGTCAATAAAAAAAAAATAATTCATCAAAAAATTATATATATCATCAAAGAAAAGCCAATTTTTCGCCGTCTAGCAACTTCTTGTTCAATCAAAGGTAATAATTTCTATCCATCATTACTGCAATTCAAATTACACTATCACCGTAATTCTTTCGTGACCGCTTAGATTTAGTTATATTATCACATGCAATAGTTCAAATTATACTGTATATCAATGTAACTATTAATTCTAAACGGAACTTTCAACAATCGGTACTTGTTTGTACAATTGCATTTTTATAATATAAACACAATGAAACAATTGGTTATCCATGGCTGACGTTGAAATTCTGTTTTCCAATGTTCTTTCATCAGATAACATCATCATTCAAGGAAAAACAATACAATTTGAAAAGTGAATTTGTTAATGCCGTTGTTGATAAGAAAAAAGATCAGAAGAACAATTCAAGCTCATCTTTTCATAATTCATCCAAATCATTAAAGTTGCAATAAACTTTAAATCTTAAAAATAAGTAAGTACATTTTTTTTTGTTAATTATTTTTTTGATCATGTCATAATATTATTAGTAAGTACTAATTATATGTCATTATATCGTATGTTTTGATAGAAATCCAATGGATGGTTGTACAAGTATGGCTCAATGGAGCAACATTTACCATCAACAATGCGGTATCGAAACATCGAGATCGATTTCAACTTTGATCTTAGATCCGATCCATGAAGAGCTTCATCAAGAAGAGAATGATGGTCAAGGAATAATAATCCCTTGGAATAATGAAGGTGCACCAAGAAATAATCAGATGTGCTCTTCTCTTCCTATGATTATTAGTCCTTTTTCGAATAACATCATTCATCAATCTCAACCGTTCGATAAATCGACTAATAATAAGGGTACTTCATCAGCTAATAACTCTTTTGATCAACAATCCTTTGAGTGTTTATTATCAGGTACTAATAGTAATACTGATACTTCAGTTGAAGATGATGGTATTTCTATTATTTTTTCGGATTGTCGAAATTTCTTCAACTTTAATAATTCCAACAATGGTGAAAATCAAAATGATAATGAGCCTAAGAAGAGGGGGAATAATATTGAACAAGATTTCCAAGGTGATCCTCAGGAGTTTCCTCCATTCAGGATCACCCAGGAAAATTCTTGTTCCCCAAGTTTGCGACCCAGTAAGAGACAGAAGAACAACAACAACAGTAACAACAACGACAACAACAACAACAATAACAACAACGACAACAACAACAATGTTGAGAAGTATGGGTCAGGCCGACATAAGGGCTCATCGAACATAAGCTTCCAACAAGGAAGTTCATCGGGTTCCTCAATCGAGGAACCCGATGCAGAAGCAATTCAACAGATGAAAGAGATGATATACAGGGCGGCCGCCTTTAGGCCGGTGAATTTCGGGGTGGATTTGGTGGAGAGGCCTAAGAGGAAGAATGTAAGGATATCAAGTGATCCACAAACCGTCGCGGCGAGGCAAAGGAGGGAGAGGATTAGTGAGAGGCTAAGAGTGTTGCAAAAGCTAGTGCCTGGTGGTAGTAAGATGGATACTGCCTCGATGCTTGATGAAGCTGCTAATTATCTCAAGTTTCTTAGGAACCAAGTCAAAGCCTTAGAAACTTTAGGTAATAATAATAGTAATAGTAGTAATAATAAGGTGGATAATCATTATCATTATTCTCCTAATACTTCTACTAATCATCTTTTTCCTTCAATTAACCTACAATTTTCATCCATGTCATTTCCCATGCAGTTACCCACAAATAATTCTACTATTTTTAACCCTCAATTTTCACTACAAAAGCCTAATCATCTTCATGTACTTCCCAAAAGTTGATCTACTTTTAATTATTGAAAAACCCAAGAAAAAAAAAATCAAGGGAAATGACCAATTTAACCCTACATCATATCCCCATAATTTCATGATTATTGTCATCATTGATATTATAGTCATCATCATTGCTCCCTCTGTTACATCTTAGTGATAAGGAGGAAATCAACATCAAAAACAGGTGAACATTTTTGAAATTTTACCTACAATTTTTGGGGGGTATTTTAGTAATTTGTAGTGGTGGGATGAAATTGTTATTATTATTTTTAGTTATTAGTGAAGTTATTAAAGTAGTGACCTTTTTCAATTGATCTGTGAAAAGTTGAAGTAATTATAGCACATATGATTATGAAAAAGGGGAGGTCAGAAAAGTGATTATGACCCTTTATGTAATCTTTTTACCAATTATATGAGTATTTTCTAGTGTACTTGAAAAGGTTCACTTTTCTTGTTCTTGCTATACTTTATGTTTAATTATTGTTATAATTTTCTGACTACTTAGTTAAATTTTCTCATTTTATAAAATCGATCGTTCAAACCATTAATATGGTCGTTTAAAATGTCAGTGTTGACAGCGTATTATTACTTATTTACTTCAAACAGTAACACGATAACTGATACTTCTGAAAAACTTGTGCAAAACCACAAACGCTCACTAAATATAAATTAAACAAATGTCTAGGGTTTGTATTATCACTCGTATTTTGATTAGTTTAAGGTCGTATAATACGGTCCGACAATAATTGTGTTTAATTAAGAGATTAATTAATATAATAAAATATCATTGCACGAGACATTCTCTTATGAAAGCAGTGAGGACCCAACAGTGGTCCTGTCTCCTTGATTCAATCCAAAGCGTGCCCTTGATAGTCACCCCTTAGCTTTAGTACTTCATATTGCTTAGCACATGATTATTCTTCTTTTTTGTCAGCCTATGTTTGTTAATTTTGTAATTTAATTTAATTAATTATTTTTTATTTGTCCATTTTCTAATTTCATGTTTTTATTTAAACATTGAACTATGTGTTTTCTTGTAACATTCAATTTGTCCTTTATGTATCTGTTTAAAGTTGATGCGGCTATTGATATAGTGCTAGCTAGCGGCTAGCTTGAATTTTTGTATTGGCATTCAATAAGTTCAATTTCAATATTCTTTACTTTTGGAATTTTTTGTTATTAATCATTTACATAGGAAAGTGGAAGTAAATGGACATATGAGTAAAAACAAGAATTACAATTTTTCCTTGGATTATATTAGCCATGGCTATAGTACAATTATCTTAATGTAATTTATACTTTTGTTAGCCTTTCATACACAATTAGTAATCATTTTGATATTCAATAGAGATAATTGAAATACTTTTATGTAAATTTAATTTATAATTATGGAGTAAGGTGGTAAAAAAAACTAATTTGACTTGATAAACCAACTTAAATCAGCAATGACCTAAACTCAACATGTAATTGAATAATAGGAGACACTAGTGCATGCATGAGGCCACTAATCAACAATTGATTTAAGCTTAGCTTATATTCTCTTACACCTAAACTTGCAGTTAACCTAATTTAACCAACAATCAATTGACTCAGACTTGAAAACAATTTGAACCTGAACTAAGACCCAAACAATTGGAATTCGAAACAGAGTAGAGCAGTGCAGGATAATGCAAATGCAACAAAACAGAGTAGATCCGGAGGCATAGCAAATGTCAGCATAGCAGAGAAGAGCCTAGCTAATACTGAAAAAAAAAAAAAAAAAAAATCTTACACATAGCTTTTGATAACTTCTACGAGTACATACTTCTCAAAGTAAATTTTCCAAATCAAATATCCATCCTCATCTCTTCCTTGCTCTTTGTGATTGGAGAAACCACTGCACCATACCCATGGTTGGCCTGGGAATCCTTTCATATTTCTTTCAGTTAGTTGCAAGTGTAAGTAGTGTTTGTCCTAAATTGAAAAAGAAAGTAAGGGGTTTTAGTTTATAAATAACCCAAGCAGATTACTCGTCATATTATTGCCGATTGGTTTTAGGATGGAACCTCGCAGTGGGCTCTAATTTGTGGGCTTATAGGCTTCTCTTCTTTGTGTTCTCCCCCATATGTTATAACAAACTGGTATCAGAGTTAGGTTTGATTCGATCCCGCCATCTAATAAGGGCACAGTCTGTGTTAAGTCTTATGGCATTAAGGACCATTTGTGAGTGCCACCTTGCCTTAGAGCTGGGCTCTGTAGGTTCTGGGTGCGAATCTATTCAAGGGGGAGTGTATAGGCTCACACTAGAGCGGGAGATTGTTAGGTGCAAGTGTGAGTAGTGTTTGTCACACATTTAAAAGAAAATAAAGGGTTTTCAGTTTCTAACCCAAGCAGACTACTACTATTGCCAAGTGGTTTTAGGATGGAACCTCGCTACGGACTCTGATTTGTGGGCTTCTCTTCCTTGTGTTCTCCCCCATCTACTATAACACTTTCATCTTTATATTACTTTTAAACAATTGGGTTTACATTTTTTCAAATTACTCCTGATTTTGTAAACTATGTCAAAATTGGTGTAAGTAATAATAGACCTTTATGATTTGTTGTATTTACATTTTTTCCATTCACTCGTGTTTTAGTAATCTATGACGAAATTGATGTTTAAGTTAAATTCCGTAATAGACCTTTATGATAACCGGATAACAAGATCATATATATACATTCCTTGATGGATTTAAGTAATTAAGAAGGAAAAGAGGGAGAAGGCAGGGTATAGTATTTAATTAATTTTCATTTTATAAAAAAGATTGAGCTACATATGCAAATTTACAATTCAAATCAACAAATACAAAGAAGTCAATGCTCATAAAGTTGACTTTCTCTCATGGTAAAAGGAAACTTGTAATAATTCCCTTAGATAATTAAGGTAATAGCTCATTCCTACTTGTATTATATTCAGTACTCCCCTCTCATTCCTCATGATATAGAAAAAAAGGGTTTTACTAAACAAAATAATGAATAAATTTACCCTTTGATGAAATTTTCATAAATTAGTTAACAACACATTGAGTTACATAGATTCAAATAAAATCAATATTATTGCAAAAATCATTAATAATATTGAAGGAATGTCCCAAATTTCATTTTCCAATTAGTCGGTTGGGACCATATTAAACTTAAATATTTTGAAGATTGTAATAATTTCTCACATGCAATAGGCTTATTATAGGTGTATTATTAGGATATAGTCAATTATAGTCACTATACCAATTGCAAATTAAGTAACAAACAATAAGAAGTTAGTTGGTGATGTAGACTGATGCAAGAAATCACGAATTTGACATGGTTGTACAAATTAAAGTGAACTTTTTGTTTGGATCAAGATAGTTTCTTCTTTTGTCATTTGTAAGTTGGGTTAACTTTCTAAATTAAGCAAATTCTGTTGAGAATGAAACCAACTCTTTGGATTTTCAATTGCTCTTTTTTTATGTTAATTGGTTTGTTTCTTTAATGTTGTACCATGGACTAGTACCAATTTAGTGTATTTTGTTCTAAAGAGTTGACATTCTAAAAGTTAAGGCTTCCCGAATTATGAAAAAATACAAGCAATGTGCTGAAAAACTGACCCATATCTAATGAGTTGAAGTAAATCTATTCTAAATCATAGAACTCAATACGAACCAGACATAGTTTACCAGGCCCAACCAACACGGTCATAAAATCAATGTGAGATACTTGGTACTATTTTATCAAAAAACAACAAGTTGACTATTAATCCAATTTTGACCGTTATAAAACTATCGACTTGATCAAAACTTATTCTAAAGGACTTGAATGTCACCTATTAATTCATAAGTAATGATGAAATAAATCACGCATCAATCGATTCTAACTACACTTTCTTATCTTCGCCTTATTATACATACCCCTTACGACTGCATCCTACATCTATAGAAAAAAAAAAAAACCACTATGTATCTTACGTACGTAAGAGGGGGATATCATGTAATATCATATCATAGAGATCGAGGATTATATTACATGATTGAAGATGACCCAAAAATATTGACTTTAGGTGAAGAAGGGAATAGGATTTGTCTTTCTCAAGTGAGACAGCTGGTGTAAGGGCATGATATCATCCATGAGCATAGTAAACCCAACTTCAACCCAAAGTGTTCAATTCATGAGCAAGCAAACGACCACAGTATAGCCATCATTGCTTGTTTTTGAGGGATAAGAGTAGGGACCTTCTTTAATCTTGGTGCTTTGAACCTTGAAACAATCAATATATTTTTTTTTTCTATCATGTTTTTGAAGGACTTTTATTTTTCTCCAAAGTATATTTTTTTTTAATGACGAATTATTTTCTTTCTTACATCTATATGGAGTAGGCGGACCAGTCTAGAAGTGGAGAACAAAAAAAAAAATTGTTTGTTTTTGTTTTGTTTTAATATTTTATAACAGTATAACTTTGAAATTGCATGTCGGTATTTATGTGTGTTTTTATACCAATGATTGTTCTTATTTTATTTTTTTTTGCTAAGCAATATTCGAAATTAAGATAGTGGTCTACTCGCATGATCTCCACTTAGCAAGAATAAGGTTTTTTTTAAAAAAAAATAAAAGTGAAGAATAGCTCAAGTGGTTAGAGCTTTCTTCTCGATTCCAGGAGATCTTGAAATCGATTATCACCCCGCTCTTGTGGCTTTTTTTAAAAAAAAAAAGAAAAATTTAAATGGATTGATAAATTCATGCAAAAAAATTTATAGTTCCAACAAAGGTTAATTAATAGGAACTAGCAACCTCATTTTACAACTTAAATAAGTGTTAATTACTATTGTATGAAGCAGTTGTTATGATTGAGAAAAAAAAAAGCTCTCAATATTTGAAATTGAAGTTTTTCAGGCCCATTATTTGTATGCTGAAAAGATATATAATTGTTTGGAAAATTTGTGAAAAAGATCCTATTAAATAGACCTTTATGAGACAAAGGCCCTTTAAAAAAAAAAAAAAAAAAAAAAAAAAAAAGTGGCACAAAAGGTCTTTATATCATGTTTGGGTTGTGAGGAGGGTCCTTTGACCATTTTTCGGCGTTTACTTTTTTATTTTCCTGTTTTCTCTCATTGTGGGGAGGACAGGGCAAATCCTCCCCACAATGAGAGAAAACAGGGAAAAAAGGAAACTTAATAAGTGACGTGCTTTACACAAAAGGTCCCTGTTTTCTCTCATTGTGGGGAGGATTTTCCTTGAATTACTTTGAATAGCATTCAATTTTAATTTATGGGATTACAATTGAAGCTTTAATGTTAATTGTTTTGGGCAAAAAAAAAAATGTTAATTGTTTTCAGAAATTAGGGTTTAATAGGGGGAAAAAAGGGGAAAACGAGGGAAAAGAGGAGGGAGAAAAATAGGAACTTAGATGTGACTTTTTTTTTGCCG